GTACATTTTCTCAAAGTTCTCAACCATGGGAGAAATGTACTACTCTTGGCCCCATGTTCCAGGTTAGGAAACTGAGGCTCAGACAGTAAAACCCACTTGCCTAAGATCACATTAGTAATAAGCTAACTAGAATTTGAACCCAAATGGGTTGACATAAATTTACTGTCTTAAGGACTTCTAAGTGTACAGTACAACAGCATTAACTATATACACCTGTTGTGCAACATATCTCCGCAACTTTTTCATCCTGCAAAACTGACACTCCATACCCACTGAATAACTCTCCATTTCCAGTCCCCCCAGCCCCTGGTAACTACCATTCTATTTGCTCTAAGGGTTTGACTGCTTTGGGTACCTCATATATGTGGAATCTTGCAGTATTTGTCTTTTTGTGACTGGCTGATTTCACTAGGCATAATGTCCTCATGTTTCCTCCATGTTGTAGCATGTGACAGGACTTCCTTCCTTTTTAAGGCTGAATAATATTCCATTGTACTTATATACATTTTCTTTATCCATTCATCAGCAGATGGACATTGAGGTTATTTCCACATCTTGACTATGGTGAATAATACTGCAATAAACATGATGTACAAATATCTCTTTAAACCTAAAATCCACCCTGGCCAGGTGGCTCAGTTGGAACATCATCCTGTACACCAAAAGGTTGCGGGATTGATTCACAGTCAGGGCACATACCCAGGTTGTGGATTTGATTCCCGGTCGGGGCACATACACGAGCCAACTGATTTTTAAAAAAAATATTTTTATTGATTTCAGAGAAGAAAGAAGAGGGAGAGAAAGACAGAAACATCAATGATGAGAGAGAATCACTGATCGGCTGCCTCCTGCACGTCCCCCTACTGGGGACCAAATCCACAACCCGAGCACGGTCCCTTGACCGGAATCGAACCCAGGGCCCTTCAGTCTGCAGGCCAACGCTCTATCCACTGAGCCAAACCAGCCAGGGCATGGAGGCAACTTCTCCCCCACTTCCTCTCTCTCTAAAAATCAAAAATATATATATCCTCAGGAGAGGATAAAAAATACAGATATAGATTTAGATATAGACCTAAAATCAATTAACCCTCAACTATTTTGCCGCCAGGATCAGATGGGATCAGAAGAGTTCGTTCATGAAGTTTTTCATTCATTCATTCATTCATTCATTCAAATGTTAAGCAAGCAACTATGTGTAGACCCTGTGGTGCCCTCACAGCTCACAGTCTAGACCCATGCTACAGTGATGACCTGGAGTGGGGAGTCCAGGGGGAATGCCTCACTCAGCCAGGGGCTTTCTGGAGGAGACACCTGAGTCGTGATTTGTTTATTTCCCACTTTCATATCTTCAGGGAATTGTTCCTTTATGGAAACCACTGATTAAAGAAGAGAGTTGACAAGGACAAGATCAAGAACAGAACCAATGTCTGCTAGGGAGAGAGAGGATGCACCAAGGACAAATCAGAGGCAGAGAAGCCACCTCTGTCAGGACACATCTCTGGCCTGCCACAATATACCTCATCTTCTTCAAAACTCGCCCACAGCGGCCTCTCTCAGCACAAGAATGAGATAAGAGACTGTGCAAGCAGCCCATCCCCTCCTCAAAGCAGCCATCAGCAACTGCCCAGCCATTGCCACAGTCCACAGCTTGGTGCCTTGGATTGGAATGCTGATCACGTTCATGTATGGGGACAGTGACAGCTTGTACAGGCCTGCACAACAAAGCACCCCAGTCACTGTTCTTGTTCTTGATGCTTTTCCCAGTCAACCCCTGTGAGAGGGGCTGGTCATCACCACTGTCCCAAGGGGAAAATAAAGCGGAGGGAGCTCCCCGCTAACAAGGAGAGCCTGCAGTCCCAGGCCTTCAGAGCGACCCAACTCCAGCCCTCTTTTGTCTACACCAGTGGTCGGCAAACTCATTAGTCAACAGAGCCAATTATCAACAGTACGACGATTGAAATTTCTTTTGAGAGCCAAATTTTTTAAACTTAAACTATATAGGTAGGTACACTGTTATTAACTTAATTAGGGTACTCCTAAGGCTTAGGAAGAGCCACACTCAAGGGGCCAAAGAGCCGCATGTGGCTCGCGAGCCGCAGTTTGCCGACCACGGGTCTACACCATCGACCTGGATGCAAATTCCAGCTCTACCTGGTAATAGTAAGTTCAGTAACAAGAGCCAGCACTGACTGAGCAAGCTGCCCTGAGCAAGCCCACGCTCAGGGGTCTATGTGCTCAATCTCACCAAATACTCCAACGGCCCTGTGTGGGAACTGCTCTTCTCCCCACCATTTGTGGCACACCATTAAGTGGCAAACAATCCACCCCCTTCTCCAACAGTAATAGGACTCCTAATATATCTGGCGCAAGGCCACCCAGAATACAGTCTATACCTCTTAGCCTGGTGGGTGGAATGAAGACATATATGATGGCCAGAGCTTGAGCAGCCCTCTTAGACCTTGACACAATACTGGGAAGAGAAGTCATGTACAACTAAACAACAAAATGGTCCCTGAGCAGAACTGGGTACCACTGGGCATCTATGTGGAAAAGGAAATAATTTTTTTGTTTAAGCCACTGATGTTTTAGGTCTCTATTATTCACAGCCTAACCTGATTCTACATGTTATATCACTTCACATGTAGAAGAGGCAACCAGGCTATCTCTCTTTTCTTCTCCCTTCTTGTCTAAATCAATAAAAATATTTTTTTATATTTTTATTGATTCCAGAGAGGAAGAAAAATGGAGAGAAAGACTGAAACATCAATGATGAGACAGAATCATTGATTGGCTGCCTCCTGCAGGCCCCACACTGGGGATCAAGCCTGAAACCCAGACATATGCCCCGACCGGGAATCGAACAGTGACCTCCTGGTTCATGTCGATGCTCAACCACTGAGCCACGCCAGCTGGGCATCATTCTTGAGCACTGGCTATGCTCCTGGGCCACTGCTGGGGCCTCAACTCAGCAACACACACCAGGCCCTGCCCTGTGGTCACGCTATAGTTCTGACACCACCAGAGATGGACGCTCCCTTCAGCCCGGTGGTGCATTTGTGGGTGACAGAAGGCAAGTGAGGAGCACCCAGAGATTCCTCTCTTAGGGTAACAGACTCTACTTCACCGGTGACTTTGGGGATTCAAAAAATCATGTATCTAAAGCTCTTCTCACATAGCCTAGTGTCCGAGAAGGATCAATTAAAATGGTAAATGCTGTTGTTATATTGTTTTAGTTTATCTATTCTTTCAAACCGTATTTGTTGGACCCAAGCTTGGGATGCAAAAATGACCCAAATACACCTAGTTCCCAATCTTACAGAGCTGGATGTGTGTGTTAAATTCCACAAAGGGGAAGGACAGGGAGCTGTGACAGCACTTATCGGGACATCTGACTGAGTGAGGGGATGAGGGAAGACTGCCCTACAGGTTGAGCTGTGACAGACGAGCAGGAGTAAATCAGGTATAGGAAGAGTTCATGAAAGGCCTGTGGCCGGAAAGGGCTATATAATTCTGGGAGGTAAACTTATACTCTTTTTCTTTTTTCTTTTTCTTTTTTTTAAATATATTTCATTGATTTTTTACAGAGAGGAAGGGAGAGAGATAGAGAGTTAGAAACATCGATGAGAGAGAAACATCGATCAGCTGCCTCCTGCACATCTCCCACTGGGGATGTGCCCGCAACCCATGTACATGCCCTTGACCGGAATCGAACCTGGGACTCCTCAGTCCGCAGGCCGACGCTCTATCCACTGAGCCAAACCGGTTTTGGCTATACTCTTTTTTAAAATACATTTTTATTGATTTCAGAGAGGAAGGGAGAGGGAGAGAGAGAGATAGAAACATCAATGATGACAGAGAATCATTGATTGGCTGCCTCCTGCACGCCCCACACTGGGAATCGAGCCTGCAACCCAGGCATGTGCCCTTGACAGGAATCGAACCCGGGACCCGTCAGTCCGCAGGCCAACGCTCTATCCATGGAGCCAAACCAGCTAGGGCAACTTATACTCTTTATACATCTTTTGTGTTAGAGATGGTCACCTAGGTAGTGAGGAGGCCAGATGGCTTGAGCAAAGAAATGAGGCAGAACAGGTGGTGTGAGTCTGAAGAGAGGCAAAAGCCAGACCAGCAGGGCCTTGAAGGTGTGTTGAGGAGCCTGGATTTTCTCTCAAGGGCACTAGGAAAGCCACAAAGGAGTTCTGAGCAAGGGAGGGACAGGGTCAGCTTTGTGCTTTAGAAAGACCTCTCTGAACCCTCTGAAGAGGGTGGATGGACGGAGCAGGACTAAAGGCCAGGAGAGCAAGGAGGGGGCTGGGCAGTGATACAGTAGCGCTAGAAACGTCTATATAAATATCATACAATTGGAACACTAACCCTAGGACATAAGTGCCTTTTTAAACTGGAGTCTCCATGACAAGTAGGCATTAAATAGGTGAGGGGAGGCAACACAGGCACAACGTGTGGGAGCAGAGATGCAAAAAGGGACACTGGAGCTACCCAAGACTGAAGCTGAGAGACGGGCAGAGGACAGACCAGAAGGACCTTTTAGGTCATGGAATGGTGTTTGGTTTTTCTCTCCCAAAGTGCAGCATCGCCCTGACCGGTTTGGCTCAGTGGATGGAGCGTCGGCCTGCGGACTGAGGGATCTCAGGTTCGCTTCTGGTCAAGGGCATGAACCTTGGTTGCCGGCTCGATCCCCAGTGGGGGGTGTGCAGGAGGCAGCTGATGGGTGTTTCTCTCCCATTGATGTTTCTAACTCTCTATCCTTCTCTCTGTGAAAAAATCAATAAAATATACTTTAAAAAAAAAAAAGTGAAGCATTAATGCATCAAACAGGAGAGGGAAGTGGGCAGAGTTCACCTAATGAATGTTGATGGCACACCTGTGGCGTGCCAAGCCTACCTCAAGAATGGCTGAGCCCCGGACACTGCGAACACAGCAGTAAGCAAGACAAGCAACATTCCGCAGGTGGCCAGTCTCATATCTGGACTGGGCCGAGTGTCACAAAGACCTTCCTTCTCCCTGCTAACACCAGCTCTGTGCTGGGAGGCCACACCAACCACCACAGTATGCGCTCACACACAGAATGCCACGGGGTTTTAGCACTGATTCTGCCGAAGAAATGGCTGAAGAGGAAACGGAGCCCAAATTTTACCAGGATGACCAGGGCCCCACCCTCGCAGGGAGCTCCCACCCGGATTAAAGGTCAGTTTACTCACAATCTTTTCATAGTACTCCCTCCGCCGCTCCGCCCTCTTCTTGTAATCGACCATCATGCCTCGCAGCTTCCGCTCATGCTTCCGCGCCTCGTGCCACATGGTGGAGAGGCCAAGCCTGAGGCCTTCACCTGGGGGATGAGGCCAGGGGTCAGATGGGCTGTAGAAAACATGCGGGCAGAGTCGAAGTCACCTACAAGCTGGTGACACAGCTCATCCCAAATGCCAGCTTCAGGGAGAGGAAGCGAGGCTGCAGAGCCGTGTAGCAGATGCTCATCCTGCTTGGACATCCTGCAACCCCCCCAGCTGATCCTGGAGTGAGCATCCACCTCCGGAGCTGGAGTGAAGAATGAACGGTTTGGGAATGGAAGGAGCCAGCTGGAGGCAGACACCAAGCAGCTGGGAGGGGAGCTCAAGGGAAAGGGAAGAGCGGAAATGGCTCCCACCAGAAGCCACCCGTGATGGGTATGGGCTGTAGCGGGATGAAAATGAAGGCAGGTGGAAGAAAAGGACATTGGAAGGAGGTGGAGGTCGAGGGCAGGTGAAGGGCACGGATGGAAGACGAGGCTTGGAGGAGGAAGAACTTGGGGGCGTGCTATCTTTCCTTACAGCAGGGCTGAGGTCTAAGGGAATCGGGACGGGGGAGGGGAGTAGAGGCGGAGCAGGCAGTCGGAAGGAGTGGGTTCAGTTTAGGGGCAAGGCTCCTGGGCAGGGGCGGAGCCCGAAGATTTGCAAAGGGCTCCAAGACCCCATTTACCCATCTAGTCCCTGAGGGCTCGGGCTGTTTTCTTCTTACTTTGACAAGGGGGCGGGACCTGGGCCCGCGGCGGGGTCGGCCGCGGGGAGTTCCGGCCCACGGCAGAGGCAGCGGCGCGGCCTGAGGCCCGGCAGGCCGGAGGAGGTGCGGGTGTGAGGCCCTCGGGGCCGGGGCCGAGCAGAAGTTCACAGCAGCCCGGGGAGGGGCGGAGGCAAGGGGGAAGCTGGGCTGACGCCGCCCAAACGCCGGGACGGCGGCCCCGTCGCCTGCACTCACCGGCTCGTCGCCGCCTGCCTCAGCTGCGCTCGCGCGCGGCCCGCACCGGAAGCGGAAGTGGGAGGCCGCGCGAAGGGAAGGGGACGGGGCGGGGCAGGCGCGCTTCCGCTACGGCAGGGGAGGGGCCTGCCGGGGCGGAGTCTGCGGGCCTAGGACGCTACGGCGGCCCACCGGTGGTCCGCGGACGGTCCGAAAGGTTGGCGACCGCTGGTTTAAGGGAACCTTTGTAGCAGCGGTCGCCAACCGGTGGTCCGTGAGGTCCCAACCGTGTGGTGAAGGCGGGAGCGGGAGGGCGTGGGGAGGGAAGATGGGGGGAGGGGTAGCGGGGGGGATGGAGGCGGGGAAATTGAGGACATCTGTAACGGTGTCAACAATAAATAAAAAGTAAATACATAAAACAAAAAAGAATAAAAACCGAATGGGCAGATAACATTATAAGAAAAATTGAGGAGGAACTAGTAATAACAACAACAAAAAAAGAGACAAGACCCCTAAGGCTCAAAACTCATCTTTATTGGAAAGACAACAGCCTATCCCCTACCTTCCTGGGGAAGGGGGGCTGGAATACCGTCCTCCGTATGTACACTCGTCAGAATCATCCAGGAGAAGGTGTCCCCAACTCTGGGGACTAAGTGCATGGGAACAAAGTCCCGTTCCTCTCTGGACTCAGTTTTCTCATTTGTGAAATGGGCTCAGGGGAAACCCCGTGCTGCAGAGCTGCTCACCGATGCAGAAAACGTCCGATTCAGAAGGATGAGGTGGGGAGACCTGACCAAGGGGGGCTCCAGGGGGGTACTGCCCATCCTGGCTGGGTTCCCACGGCCCCGTCCACCTCCCTCCCCACCCAGCGCCTCTCCTCTGGCACTGAGGTGGTTACGTGGCCTCAGGCCCGGGGGACAGGAGGCCACCCCCAAAGCCCGCCTCCCGGTACTGGTTGGGGAACATGTTGCTGCCCACAAGGCTGGCAGTGCCCCCGTCCCCGGGGACTGGAGCCTGGTATGAGTCCAGTGTCATTGGCTCAGGGCCCGACGGCTCCCCGACCGTGGCCCCTGCAACCCCATTGCCTGAGACAGCGCTGGCAAGTGGCGGGGCCGGGGGCAGCATGTCCAGCACGGTGAAGAGTGCAGGGTTCGTGGTTTCATAGGGAAAGCCATCGTCCAGGAGGTCCGGCCCACCAGGGGGCTCCAGGCCAGGGAGGGACACGGGGCTGGGGAAGAAGTCTGAGTCGGGCAGCAGGGCGGACGGTGGGAGGAATGTGCCTGTAAGGATGAGAAGAGAGAGAAGGAAGCGTGGTGGCTTTAGAGGCAACTTCTGGCCAGGTTCTAACTCCAATGGCCAGTCCCAGGCTCAATGTGTGATCAGTGTGGCCTCCTTTAATCCCAAGGAGAACCAGGGTTGAAACAATACTGCGATGCTGGGGAGTTTTCCCTACGAATGAGGAAGGAGAATGGGCTCAAAAGCGCCCCCCTCCCCCCCAAATATAAAGACAATCCAAAAAAGTGAAATATCCACACCAGGGGAGAAGTTGCCAGTCCCCAAACTGGGAGGTAAAATGACAAGTGTCGTTCTAGGAGAGCCTCTGTTTTTGAGATAAGACGCACTTCACCAGCAAAGTCTGATTATGCTGATCTCAGAAAGAAACACAGGGCTGCTGGGATTTTGTTTTTCAGCGTCCCTTGAAGCTCGACATGGGCCCTGCCTGAGTTCTGCTGGCTGGAATGTGGGCACAGTGGCTGGAGCTGCAGCAGACATTTGGACCATGACTTGGAAACTGAGTTGAAAAAGGCAGGAGCTTGGGACCCTGGTGATCATGCAGCCACCAAAGCATCCCTGGACCACCTACCTCTGAACTGTGTTTATGTGAAAGGACAAATTCTGCCCTATTGAAACCTCGGTTGTGTTGGGTTTTGCTGTGAAGACAATTAAACATGCTCATAACAAAAGGGGTGGAGAGGCTGGGCATTAGTTACCCATTGCAGTGGGGCGGGAGGGACAACAAATGGTACTGGCAATACCCAGGGTGGGACTGGCTGCGATGACCAGGCGGGGCTGGCTGAGTGGTTGGTGGCTGGCTGGGAGCTGGGTGCCCTGGGGCAGCGGGCTGTCGGGAACAGTGTTCTAAGAGCTAGTGGTCAGCAGGTGGGAGGTCTCTGATGGCAGCCAGATAGGACGGGAAACTGGCATGTGAGTTGAGATGGAGGCAGGGGGAGAGGAGGCCAGAGGGTGGTTGGGCTAGACAGGCTCCGACCTTGAGGTTGGCTGGTTCTGACAGCCACCCCCAGTTGTCCACCTCCTCCTCCCTGCTCCCCGTTTCACACCCATCATCACTGATCTATACTGATGCTCAGATGCAACTGCCTGCTCCACCGGGACTAATTGTGACCTTGGACAAGAGACTTCTCCTCTCTGAGCTTCAGTGTTTTTCACCAGGAAAGCAGGGGCTGGGGAGAATGATAGCAGCCACCTTGCGGGCGATGGTGCAGATCAAGTGAGAAAAGACACACAAAGCACTTATGCACCTGTCATACAGTGTCTGTAAAATAAAGACATGAAATGTTAAAAGGCCGGTGAGAGAGGTATGTGGTGAGACTTGGCAGGCATGCCGCTGAGGCTCTGAGAGGTGCAGCAACTTGGCCAAGGTCACACAGCAAGTAGATGGTCTGGTGGAGACCAGAGCCTCTGGGCTGCGTCCAGAATGGCTATTCTTCCCACTTTATGTTGCTGGCTAAGTGGGGTGTCACTGGCCTTGTGGGAGCTTTGGGGGAACCAGAAGAAGCCCGAAAAGCAGGGCTGCAGCTCACCCTCAGCCCACCCCAGGGCGGAGGGGCTGGCACAGAGCTGGGACCCACCTGAGCCATGGCTGGGCAGGAAGTGGTCCAGGAAGGCTGGCTTTTTCCTCCGCCGCTTGCTCTCGATGCCATGGGGGTCTGCGGGAAGGCAGAGGTGAGGACCCCTGGACCCAATAGCCCCTCCTCCCCAGCCTGGGGCAGGGCAGGACAGGGGGGACCTGGAGATGGGGTGGGAAGGGGCAAAGGGGACACACCAGAACTGTTCAGCTCTCCCAGGACGTCGGGCATCCCCCGTTTCCGCTTCTTGTCCACACCGTAGCTGTCTGTTCAGGAGATATCAGGGACATACAGAGTAATCCATCAACAACAACAATTAAGAATTAATTTTAGAGGCCGTTTAGAAAGTTGTTGAGCTTGACCAACCCATGCAAATAGATGTCCACATCTTAATCAGAATACAACGCAAATCCACTCCTAACCAAGCTGGTCTTTGTTGTTCCTGGAAAACCCCAGGCACTATCCTGCCTCAGGGCCTTTGCACTTGCTGTTCTAGCTGCTTAAAACACTCTTCCTCACCCTGGCCAGTGTTGCTCAGTGGTTAGAGGGTCAGCCCAAGCACCCAAGGGTCTCAGGTTTGATTCCCGGTCAAGGGCATATACTTAGGTTGGAAGTTCTGTCCCCTGCCCGATCCCTGGTGCCTAGCGAACAGCAACCCATTGATGTGTCTCTCTCATATCGATGCTTCTCTCTCCCCTTTCTCCCTCCCTCCCTTCCACTCTCTCTAAAAAAAAAAAAAGGAAAACTATCCTTGGGTGAGGATTAAGAAAAAAGCAACACTCTTCCTCAACTCCCACCCCTTCCCTGGAGAACTACTTATTCATCCTCCCATCTTCAGCTCAGCTGTCCCCTCCTCCAGGAAGCCCTCCTTGACCCCTAAGTCTGGGTCAGATACCCTCTCTGGGCAATCTGAGTCCCCTGAGCAATTCCTTCCCGGTCCTGCCCACAGTATGTGAATGGGTCTGCCCTCCGTAGGTCTGAGAATTATGAGGCTATTTGGTCACCACTATTTCCTCAGCACAGGGTCAGGCATGAGCAGCGTGATGAGGAGAGCAATGATTAAATCCTCCCCCAAACCCTAGCCTGTTTGGCTCAGTGGATAGAGCATCCGCCTGTGGACTGAAGTGTCCCAGGTTCGAGTACGGTCAAGGGCACATGCCCGGGTTGCGGGCTCGATCCCCAGGGTGGGGCGTGCAGGAGGCAGCTAATCAATGATTATCATCATTGATGTTTCTATCTCTCTCTTCCTCTCCCTTCCTCTCTGAAATCAATAAAAATATATTTTAAAAAATCCTCCCCCAAATGCCATGAGGTGGATACTATTATTATTTCCATTCTGCATAGAAGAAGAGTGAGATACTGAGGGGCCAAGATCACACAGCCAGTAAGTGGCAGAACCGGGATTCAGACCCCAGTCTGTCCAGCTCTGAGCCTGCATTCTACTTCTGCCTCTTCCCCTTTCCCTCTGAGTTGCCCAAGCAAGGCCAAAGGCCTGGTCTCTGGCGGGAGGGGGGGGGGGGGTCGCCCTGCGTTGCTGTGGTTACCGTGGTCCCGAGGCAGGTATGTGAAGGGCAGAGGCTCGCTGCAGACCCCATCGGTGAGCCGCTGCAGGAAGACATTGACTGTCACGGGTTCGACGATCTCCAGGTCCTCGTAGGGCGGTGTCTTGAACACGATGGCAATCTGGCGGTGCACGTCGGCCTGGGAGAAGTCAGCCCGGCCTTCCCAGGAGGCACTGCTGAACACCACTGATATATCCTCTGTGGGGAGTAAGGACATCAGCTGAGCAAGGACCCTGGCCCACTGGGCCCCCAACTCACTCCGTCTCCCCCACATCAATATTAATATTCCTAAGAACAAAACTAATCATGTGGTAACTGACCTTCTGTTGAGCACATACAGTGTGACACACCGACAGTCACTGCCAGTTATTATATACTAGAGGCCCGGTGCACGAAATTCGTGTGTGTGTGGGGGGGTCCCCTCAGCCCAGCCTGCACCCTCTCCAATCTGGGACCCTCGGGAGATGTCCGACTGCCAATCTTGGGATTGGGCCTAAACCAGCAGACATCCCTCTCACAATCCTGGGCCACTGGCTCCTAATCGCTCACCTGCCTGCCTGCCTGGTCACCCCTAACTGCCCCCTCTGCTGGCCTGGGCGCCCCCAACTGCACCCACCCTGCTGGCCTGGTTGCCCCTAACTGCCCCCCCTGCCGGCCTGGTCGCATCTTACTGCCCCCCCTGCCGGCCTGGTCACCCCTCATGGTCCCCCCACTGGCCTGGTCGCCCCACGCAGCCTGCTGTTCAGTCGTTTGGTTGTCCCTCACTAACCCCTCTGCCGGCCTGGTCATAGGCAGCCATCCTGTGAGGGTGTGAGGGTTAATTTGCATATTGCCTCTTTATTATATAGGATTATCTCATTTAATCCTTTTAACAACCCAAAAGGCAGCTAGAATTATATTCCCACTGGGTCAGGGGTCCCCAAGACCACCATCAGATTCAGCGATTCACAAAGGGACTCACAGGACTCAGCATATAGTTTGTATCACAGCTACGATGTATTACAGCAAAAAGATACCAGGCGCCCTTGGGAAAGGGAAACGGTGCCTGGAGCAAGTCCAGAGGAAACCAGGCTCAAGCTTCCAAGAGTCCTCTCCCGGTGGAGTCACACAGGACATAGCAATTCCCCAGGAACAAGATGTGAGCACACACTGAGAAATGCTGTCTGTCAGGGAAGCTCCTTAGAGACTCAGAGCCCAGGGTTTTTATTGGGGGTGGTCACCTAAGCACCCTGTGCCTGGCACATACCAAAATCCCAGGCTCCCCGAAGGACAGCAGGTGTTCCACACAAACCACGCTGCTCATACAAACAGGGCAGGCACAGTGAGCCACTCTTACCACTCAGGGGATGGGGAGGACACTCTCAAAATGCAAGTTCCCAGAAGCCAGCCACGGGCCAACCTTGTAAGCAGGCCTTTCAAAGGATAAAGATCTCAGATCTGCTATGTTCATTATTTTCTACACCACCCCCACTTAAAAATATATTAATTTTAATTTTTGTTTATTGACTTTTAGAGAGAAATAAAGGGAGAGAGAGAGACATCAATTTGTTGTTCCGTGTATTTATGCATTCACTGGTTGATTCTTGTATGGTGCTCGGACTGGGGATCGAACCCACCACCTTGGCATATCGGGCTGACGCTCTAACCAAGTGAGTTACTCAGCCAGGAAGACACACCTGCTTTAACGATGGAGAAGCTGAGGCTTGGAGAGGTTGAGAAGCTTGCCCCAGGTCACACAGCCAGGAGGGAGTAGCCAGGATTCAGTACGCTGAGACTATTCTTTTTCTTGTCTCATTGCATTGCCTCTCTCATCACACTAACACCACCTTCTGAGGCTTTCTGTGTCAGGCACACACATGGCCTCTAACTCGCAGAAACGCTATGAAGAAGGGAGCCCATTGCATAGAGGAGGAAGCAACAGCACAGAGAGGTAAAGTCACTTGTCCCAGGACACGCAGCCAGCACGTGGTAGCGCCACGATGGGAACCAGGCGGGTAGAGCTCTTCCCCACCAGCGCTGTCTGCTGTGGCCGGGGAGGCTGTCTGATATCTCTAGGACTAGTTTCCTCCCTAACAGAGGAAATGTCATAGCACCTACCTCATAGGGTTCTAAAACGATTAAACAAACCACTCAATGTAAGGGGTTTAGATGAAGGTTTAGGATATAATAAGTGCTCGGTCCATGTTAAGTATGAGTGATCCTATTAGCATTGTGCAAAGTACCTACTCCAGGCCGGGTACAGAGAAAATCCTCAGTAAATGCTAACTCTTTACAGTGCACCGGTTGGGCAGTTGGGATCCCTCGTCATCCTCCCAGTGACTCATTTTAGGGATGAGGACATGGAAGCTCAGGTGGGGAGGCACCTCCCTGAGATCGGCCAGTGAATAAATGATGGAACAGGACTCATACCTGCTTCTAATGATTCAGCCATACCTGGAATGTTTCCCTGCCCTCGTCCCAGCTGCCAGGCCGCTAACAATCCCCTTGGCCTTCCTCAGATCTCAGCTCAAATGTCACCTCCTCTGGGAAGCCTTCCCAGATGCCTAGACCATGTCTGGTCTTGTTGTTCAGCCTCAGCACGTTGTCTCCTTCCCTCTCAGCATCATGCACAATGGTCATTTGCATTTCTTTCCCTCCTCCCCACTGAACGGAGAGCCCTGTGAGGACCGGGCCTGGGCCTGTCTCTGCCATCGCTGTGTCCAGCACTGCCCAGCACAGGGGCCACCACAGAGGAGCCACCCAATAACCATCTGCTCATTCATTCAAAACTTCGTAAGACTCTCCCACTGCTGGGTCTATATCCAAAGAACGGAAGACAGGTGTTCATACAAAAACCTGTACATGAATATTCACGGCAGCACTATTCGGAATGGCCAAAAGGTGGAAACGGCCCAAATGCCCATCCACAGATGAATGGGTAAATAAATGTGGTAGATCCATACAATGCAATATCATTCAGCCATAAGAAGAAATGAAGCACAGACACATCACAACAGGGATAAACCTTGAAAACATTATGCCAAGTGAAGGAAGCCACACATACAAGGTCACGTATTATAGACTTCCACGTACGTGAATAGGCAAATCCACAGAGAGAAACAGATTCTTCGTGGTTGCCAGGGGCTGGAGGAGGAGGGAATAGGGAGTGACTGCTAATGGGTATGGGGTTCTTTCTTCCTTTTTTTTTTTTTTTGGTGTGTGTGTGTGTGTCTAGAATGTGGATAGGGTTTCCTTCTGAGGTATGAAATTGTTCTGGAACTAGATAGTGGTGGTGGCACAACCTTGTGAGTATATGAAATGCCACTGAACTGTATATAAAATGCTTTAAAAATTTTTAAGTGGCCCTAACTGGTTTGGCTCAGTGGATAGAGCGTCAGCCTGCGGACTCAAGGGTCCCAGGTTCGATTCTGGTCAAGGGCATGTACCTTGGTTGCAGGCGCATCCCCAGTAGGGAGTGTGCAGGAGGCAGCTGATTGATGTTTCTCTCTCATCAATGTTTCTAACTCTCTATCCCTCTCCCTTCTTCTGTAAAAAATCAATAAAATATATTAAAAAAATTTTTTTTAAGTGAACCTTGTAGCTATAAAGAAAGTAAAACAAGTTTTTTCCTGGTAACCTCATGTGTGCTTGGCCCGGAACTGGGTGGTTCTGGGGACACGGTTGCTCACTAAGACAGTGCCAGGTCCTGCCCGCTTGACTCAGTGGGGAAGACAGACATTAACTATACAATCCCACAACCTGAGAAAGGATGCGGGGGCGGGGGGAGGGGTCCTTGTGGCTGTGGCAGGCTCTCCCACCCACCTCCCCTCTCGCTTCCTCTTACCCCATCGGCCTCCCTGTTCTTCCAACAATCACACCTGCTTCTGCCTCAGGGCCTTGGCAGTTGCTGTTCCTTGTGCTGGAACACTCTTCCCCGTGCGGCCACACAGACCCTTCATGGGCCCCCTAGTAAAATTGTGCCCCACCGCCCCTCCGGCCGTTCTTCTCCATCCCCTTTCTCAGTATCGTTTTTCTCCAAATACTACCTTTTCATATCTCCCCGAATTGTTTTCAACTCTATTATGTTTCCTCCCAGAGGAAATGATGCACAGCAGCGCCTGGATTCAAATCCTGTCGCTACCTGCCTAGCTGTGTGACCTTCTGCCAGTTACTTCACCTTTTTGTGGCTCAATTTCCTCATCAGCAAATGGAGATTATAATAATAGGCTCTACCTCACAGATTATCAGGCGACCAGGTGATCTAATGAGCGATGCGTGCAAAGCACTTTCAACACAGCAAGGTAAGTCTCAGCTCTGCTTTGTTCCTGTTGGCGGTGATGTTATGTATAACAGAGTCACATGACAGAAACGCAAAGGATGCAGAAGAGATGCAGGGTGTCCCTCCAAAATGCATTTACACGTTAACAGCTGATAGCTGCTCAGTCTTGAAAGTGAAATGTATTTCAATAAGCACTGCCTTTATAATTATTCAAAGTGTGTGTACACATTTTGGGGGGGACACCCTATATATACAATAAAAGGGAAGGCTCCCTCCTGCTGTCTTGCAGACAGGCAGTCCCGGGTGGTGGTTTTGAAATTTTATTTTATTTAATATATTTTTATTTATTTCAGAGAGGAAGGGAGAGGGAGAGAGAGAGAGAAATATCAATGATAAGAATCACTGATGGGCTGCCTCAGGCACGCCTCCTACTGAGGATCGAGCCCGCAACCCAGGCATGTGCCTTTGACCGAAATCGAACCCAGGACCCTTCAGCACGCAAGCCAACGCTCTATCCACTGAGCTAAACCAGCCAGGCTTTTTTTTTTTTTTTTTTTTTTAGGAGTGTGTGAGTCAGGGGTCTCCACCGACAGAGAAGGGGCAGGATGTGTATGTGTGAGAGAAACAAAGACAGAGGGACAGATACAGCAAGAGATGAGACAGAGAATCAGAGAGAGAAAAGGAGAAAAAGGGAAACAGACAGAGAGACACAGCAACAGAGAGACAGACAGGAACAGAGTGGAGGGTTTTGGGGGAAACCCTATTTGAAGAAGGGACATTTGAACAGACATGAGTGACATGGAGAGATGCTCCCCCCCGCCCCTGTTGTCCTGCTTTCTTCCACCGTAGCCCTTATCACAACCATCATAAAGCATTTATTTGTGCAACTCCACGATTTTTGTAGCAGCCTCCCAGACATGAGCTCCTGTGGTGGCGAGGCCTGCATGGCCCTCCTCTGTACGTGAATGAGTGAGTGACTCAGTAAGTGAATGAACCAATCGTCTGTGTCTGACTCCAAAACCAGAGTTCTGGATCCTCCCGCCCCACAGCCGGTGCTCCAGCTCCTCCTGGGCTACCCCACAAGCCGCCAGACCCCCGGGCCTGCTGGCTGCCCCAGGCCCCTCACCTTTCTGCACCTTGTCACACAACAGGTAGAGCTCCTCGCCCCCTGTGCACGGCCCGCTCTCCTTGTTGATCCGGCAGATCCGCAGCTCGGACGTGTTTGTGGACTCTGGGAGGGAGCATGAGGAAGACGTACATGAGAAAAAACGGGAATTCGGTCATCACATCCTTCCCAGGTACCCTGTGGGCGCCCACCCTGGGCCAGGGAGAGGTGGGGGATAGAGAAGCCAGGCCACCTGTCCCTCCTGGAACCCAGGGTCGGGTGGAGAAAGAAGCCGCTCAGACAAGCGGGGGCTAATGGACAAGTCCTCCATGCTGAGGTCGGGTAAGTGTCTGACTAAAGGAGAGACCCTCGAATTCAGGGGGAGTTGGCAGGGTCAGGCATCAGAGCCAGTTCTTAGATGAGGATTAATGTCCTGAAACCGGTAGTGGACACCTGTTGTTTTACCTCTACCAGTCCTGGCCCTTCAGCTAATTGCCTCCCAACTTTCTTTGGATGGACCACCCCACATCTCAGTGATGGGGTTCGGGTAAGATTGATTCCACTCCCTAGCTCAGCAGTGAGCATGTGCCCCAGACCTGGCCAATCAGAACATCACCTCCTCCTGGCCACAGCTGATTGGTCAGAGAGGACACATGACCAACCTCAGGCCAATGAGAGACAGCCCTGAGACTTTGAGCAAAACTATTAGGAGACCGGGAGAGGTGCCAACCTGGAAGGATATAAGCCTAGGGCTGCACACAATTACCTTGCTCCCACGTGGGATGGCATTGCCAAGAATGACTCTAACACGGAGGAAGCATAGCTAGAGAGGACGCAGACCCTAATGACATCTCTGAGGAAGACCTGAAGCACTGTGCTACCTCTAGATGTTTTTTAGTTAATGGAACAAATTCTTTTTTTTTCTCTCTTTCTGCCCATTCAAGTTCGGATTCTATCACTTGCATCCATAAAAGCCCTGATTGAAGTAATAGCCTTCCCCATTTTAATGCTTATGGCAGTCACTGTAAGCTGGCTAAAACCTAGCAGCCATTCCCAACCCCCTCTTCCATACCCCTCTATTGAGGATGAAAACCTAAATACTTTCTTTCCCAGACTCCCTTGCAACCATGGGACCAAGCCTGGCCAATGGGACATAAGCAGAAGTCGAACTTGGGTGGTGCACACACAACACAACATACAGATGATGTATTATAGAATTGTATGCCTGAAACTATGTAATTTTTATTAACCAATGTCATCTCAATAAAGTCAATTTAAAAAGGGGAAGGGGAAACCCGGCTGATGTGACTCAGTGGTTGAGCACTGACCCATGAACCAAGTGGTCACTGTTCGATTCCCAGTCAGGGCACAAGCCCAGGTTGCAGGCTGGACCCCCAGGTAGGGGGAGTGCAGGAGGCAGCCTATGATGATGTTTCTCTTTCATCGATGTTTCTATCTCTTTATCCCTCTCCTTCTCTCTCTAAAAATCAATAAAAACATGTTTTTTTTAAAAAAGGGGGAAAAAGGCAATCTACCAGGGGGTTCCTGGGGAATATATTATTTTCTCTATCAAGACAGAAACAGTATTACTCATGCTGCCTCTTCCCTAGGGTAGCCTAGTACAGGTGTACAGGCCGTACGCCCTACAATACTCGAAGGTCCCGCTTCCACAGGCCACATAGGAAACGCTGACTCCTGGCACTGTCAGTGGACAGCTCGCTCGCCATACAGGGTGGCACTGCCCATCACGCCTCGAATACAGACATGCCTGGAGCTACAGCAGCCAGCTCATGACCATGAGGGGAAAGCAAAGAGAATCACAGAGCTGCTGAACCAGTTCCCCAATACTGCTGAGCCGCTGAATCCACGGGACCAGGCTTCAAAACTGAGACACATACACATAGAGAACGCCCACCCAGCCAGTGTTCCTCAGTGGTTAGCGTGTCAGCCTGAGGACTGAAGGGTCTTGGGTTGGATTCCGGTCAAGGGCACGTACCTCAGTTGCAGGCTCTATCCCCAGCCCTGTGTGGGGCATGTGCGGGAGGCAACCAATCGATGTGTCTCTCTCTGTCTCTCCCCCTCCCTTCCACTCTCTAAAAAAATATCCTCGGTGAAGATTAATGAAAAAAAGGAAGAAAGAAAGAAAGAAAGAAAGGAAGGAAGGAAGGAAGGAAGGAAGGAAGGAAGGAAGGAAGGAAGGAAGGAAGGAAGGAAGGAAGGAAGAAGGAAGGAAGGAAGGAAGGAGAGAGGGAGGGGAGGAGGGAGAGAGGGAGGGAGGAGGGAAGGAGGGAGGGAGGAGGGAGGGAAGGGAAGGGAAAGGAACGGGGGAGGGGAGGGGAGGGGAGGAAGGAAGGAAGGAAGGAAGGAAGGAAGGAAGGAAGGAAGGAAGGAAGGAAGGAAGAAAGAACTCCCTGTTGGTCCGTGCCTTTGTATGTGGGGCTTTTGGTACCTGCAGCCAAAGACAGTCCTATGGACACAGCACCCTCGACTCACTCTTGTCATAGACAGGCTCAGACAGCACGGGCTCCATCTGGCACATCTGTCCCTGCTGGTCCCTGTAAGAGGCCTGGAAGCAGATCCTCACGACGTTCATGTCCACCTCCTGATGGTTCTTCAGGGACCCAGCTGCGAGAGAGACGTGGAAAGCTGAGGGTGGGGGAGAGGGGAGGGCTGGAGGCGATGGTGGGGCCCAGAGAAGGTAAGGGGGGGGAGTGGGCAGAGGGGTTGGGGTCTGGGCTCACCGTTATACGGGTCGATGCCCAGCTGGATTTTCCGCTCTATGGCAGCCTCGATCTCCTTCTTCCTCACACACTGGATGCCCAGGTTGTTAAAGCTGCGTGGGGGGCAGGTGGAAGGGAGGTCATCACCAGGGGGCAGGGGTAGCTCTAACCCCCAGGAGGACTCCAGCAGATGCTACCTGCCCTGGGCCCAGGGGTCCCAGCTTTGAAGGGGTCCGGGGTTCAAACCCTCCAGGGTGTCAACACTGGCCAACCTCATTAATAAGAAAACTCAAATGAAACACCAACGCAATGCCAATTTTCACAAATGCACCCAGACAGCAAAGATCAAAGCATGTGCTAGCACCGCCTGCGGGTGAGGTGGTGGAGAGTCAGCCACTCTCGCCCACTGCTGAGGGGCTGGAAATGCTCCAGCAATTCACACTGGAGGACGATCTGTCCGTATTCATTCATTCCACAAATATTTTCTGAGCACCTACTGTGTGCCAGGCAAGTGCTACGTGCCAGGGGATATAGCAGGGAACAAGAGAGACAAAAATCCCTGCTCCTACTAAATGTATAGATCACTAAGAGTATACAGGTACCTACTTGGAGCCGGCAATTTCATTTCTAGGAATTTATCCCAGAGAAGAAATGATCTGTACATAAAGCAATTCACTGCGACTCAGTTTATCATAGAAGCACAAGGCACTGAAACCAGCGTAGGTGCCCATTAATAGAGGAGTTGCTAGGCCGGTGTGGCTCATCGGTTGAGCGTCAGCCTATGAACCAAGAGGTCACAGTTCGATTCCCGGTCAGGGCACATGCTTGGGTTGTGGGCTCTATCCCCAGCTGGGGGGCATGCAGGAGACAGCCGATCAATGATTCTCTCTCATCACTAATGTTTCTTTCTCCCTCTCCCTTCCTCTCTGATATCAATAATATACATTGATATCAAGTCACTGTGTGCATCCACACATTGGAATATTATGCAGCCAGTAAAAAGGATAGGGCAGCTCCAACTGTTCTGAAAGGCACGATCTCCAAGATGTACTGGAACACAAAAATGAGGTTCGAGTGTCTGCTATTATTTATAAGGAGAGAAAAAGATATATCTACGCAGAGCATATTTTTAATTGCCTCCAGGAAGGGACACTAGGATCTGGAAGACCAAAGGACGAAGGAAATTCATTTTTCACTGCACACTCTTTCTGAACCTTTTCATTTATTATTTATTAAAAATATATAAATTATAAAGTGAAAGAATGGGCCTTGCAGGTAAGTCAGGTCTTGGGTCAGATCCCAGCTCTGCATTGGCTCTCTGTAGCCCTGCAACCTCTCAGAGGCCTCAGTTTCCTCCTCTACAGTATGGAGATAAATAGAACGGTGTGAATGTGTGTGGGGAGCAGGGCTCCAGGCCTGAGGAGATCCCTCCACCGCCACAGGCCGCTCGCCCACTGCTGTCTGGGAAATGCCGTGGGGAGAGTCTGGCTGGGCCTTGCCCCGAGGTCTCCCTGGGTGATTCTTAGCCCCTCAGACTCTCCATGACCAAGAGCGGAGGGTCTGGGGCGGGGGTTGGGTACCTGTGCCGGGGGCTGACGTGAGGCCGGAGCCGCACCCTGCAGACGCCGTCGGTGCAGTCTTTCCCCACGAGGCTGTGGGGGTGCACGCGGTGAGGCCAGTCCTTCCACACCAGGCATGCGGTCACCTCCACCTCCCGCAGCCCTCCGCAGTCCCGGAGCTGCAGGAAGACAGTGCACTTTTGGGGGTCCCATCGTGGATACCTGCATCTATCCAAACTCCCTGGGGACTCCCTGGGTAGGTCCCCACCTCCTCCGCTTCCCCCTAGAGTGATGGACGGGTGGGGTGTTTGCTTAAGACCCCCCGAGATCCTAACCCTGCGACTTCCAGCTGCTGCCCTGAGGGCCTTGTAACACGTTAGCTGCCCCCAGATATACTTCCTCTGGCCACTCAGGCTTTTAAACATTGGGTGCCTCCCAGGCCGCTAAGCACAGCCCACAGATAACATCCTCATGGCAGGAGAGAAAGGCACCCTTACGGTGTCCACCACCTTAACCGGGTGAGCAAGGTCAGCATCACCGGTACCGGGCTCAATGACCCAGGCACGCCCAACGCCGGGAAGGACACAGCGTCACGGCTGTGACAGCCCCTCCGAAGTGCATCACCTGAGCCTAACCGTGAGGAAGCACCAGACAAACTCAAACTGCAGGTCACCAGATCAAAAATATCAGTGTCATGAAAGATGATAAAAAGATGGGTGTTGCCCTAGCTGGTGTTGCTCAGTGGTTAGAGTGTCAGCCCACACACTGAAGGGTTGTGGTTCGATTCCTGGTCAAGGACAGGAACCTGGGGTGCAGGTTCCTCTTCAGGGCATGTGTGGGAGGCAACCAGTCAATGTCACTCTCTCCCTCCCTCCCTCTCTCCCTCCCTTCCTCCATTCCACTGTCTCTGAAAAATTAATGGAGTCCTGACTGGTTTGGCTCAGTGGATAGAGCGTTGGCCTGCGGACTGAAAGGTCCCAGGTTCGATTCTGGTCAAGGGCATTCTTGGTTGCGGGCACATCCCCAGTGGAAGGTGTGCAAGAGGCAGCTGGTTAATGTTTCTCTCTCATTGATGTTTCTAAATCTCTATCCCTCTCCCTTCCTCTCTGTAAAAAATCAATAAAATATATTTTTAAAAATAATAAATAAAAAAATCAATGGAAAAAATATCCTCGGGTGAGGATTAACAACAATAAAAAGATGGGTGTCATATTTTGGATGAAAGGAAAATAAACACGTATTTTGACCTGGCTGGTAGTTCCATAGTGTGTACATAAGTAACTAATAAACAGATAGGTTTAGAGGCGTGGAATCATGGCACAGACTGCTGGATCTCAAGGGGAAGGGGAGGGGCAGGAAGAGGTTAACCACATAATTTATATGCATATATGCATAGCCTATGGATAGAGACAATAGCATGGTGAATGCCTTGGGTGGACGGGAGCTGGTGGAAGGGACAATGGAGGAAAAATGGAGGACATCTATAATACTCTCAACAATAAAGATAAATAAAAATTTATCAAGCTGTATACTTAAGAGTTGATCTTAACAAATATGTGAAGATAAAATATGATAATATATCAGTTTATTATATTAAATTTAATGTTAACTTCATATTCAAGGTTAATTTGACTAAGTTAATTGTCAATTTGATATTTAAAACTACATTTAAAATTGTAATTATTACATTAACATTTTAAGATAAAATGCAACTTAAAATATAACTCAATTTTTTAAAAAGCAGAGAGACTAGCTAGGCCATCCGATGTGGCTCAGTGGTTGAGCAGAAAGTCATGGTTCAATTCCCAGTCCGGGTACATGCCCGGGTCATGGGCTCGATTCCCAGCAGGGGGCGTGCAGGAGGCAGCTGATCAATATTCTCTCTCATCATTGACATTTCTCTCTCTCTCTCCCTCTCCCTTCCTCTCTGAAATCAATAAAAATATATTTTTAAAAATAAAATAAAAAGGAGAGAGACTAAAGAGACACAACCACCAAACACAACATGTGATCCCTGCTTGGATCGTGGATTGAGGGGAAAGAAACAACCATAAAACGCATTTTGGGACAACTGGGCAATTCAAGTATGGACTCTATGAGATGATGTTACGGAGCACTGTCAATATTCCTACGGTAGTACCCGTGCTGTAGCTGTGTAGGAGCTTACACTTAGGAGATGCACTTTGAAGGCTGAAGTGTGACGTTAACATGACCACTACAACTCATTTGCAAATAGTTCAGCAAAAGAAAAACAAACAGTGTGTGTGTGTGTGTGTGTGTGTGTGTGTGTGTGTGTGTGTGTAGAGAGCGAGCAACCAGAACAGCAAATGTGGCAAATGCCAGCTGGTGCGTATGGGTGAAGAGTACACAGGTTCCTGTTCTTTTAATTTTTCTGTAGATTAAATTTACCTCAAAACTCATCAATTGTATACATTAAATGAGTGCAACTTTTTGTACATCAATTATACCTCAATAAAACTTTCTTAAAACTTTTTAAAAAGATTTAAAACATTTTTTAAAATAAAAAGTTGGGAAAATTTGGAGCCTACATTGAAAACCAATGAGACATCACATCATTCCAGATTTCCAGATTCTCGGTTTTTTAAAAAATATATATTTTTTTATTTCCCGGCCGGTGTGGCTCAGTAATTGAGCATCCACCTGTGAACCAGGAGGTTAAGATTCAATTCCTGGTCAGGACACATGCCCAAATTGCAGGCTCAATCCCTAGCAGGGGGTGTGCAGGAGGCAGCTGATGGATGTTGATGTTTCTATCTCTCCCTCTCCCTTCCTCTCTCTCTAAAATCAATAAAAACATATTTTAAAAATATATATGTATTTGTTATTGATTTCAGAGAGGAAGGGAGAGAGACAGAAACATCAATAATGAGAGAGAATCATCGATCCGCTGCCTCTTACACGTCCCATGCTGGGGATCGAACCTGCAACCTGGGCATGTGTCCTGACTGGGAATGGAACCAGTGTCCTCCTAGTTCATGAGTCGATGCTCAACCACTGAGCCACACCAGCTGGGCCAGATTCTCTTTTTAAAAAAGGAAGTTTTGGCAAATGGGCTGAATTTCTGCTCAGCAGCCAAAGGCAGCAGTGGATAAAAAGCAACTCGTTTAGTCCTGATGGTGTGGCTCCGTTGGCTGAGCTCCCTCCTGCTCACCAAGACGTCAACCATTTGATTCCCGGGCAGGGCACGTGCCCGGGTTGCATGCTCAGTCCCCACTTAGGGGCGTGCAGGAGGCAACCAATTGATGTTTCTCATCGATTTCTCTCTCTTTCTCTCTCTCCCTCTCCCTAAAAAAATACATTAAAAAAAAAAAAAAACACAACCCTTTAAACCATGGGCCCAGACCGATGAAGCTTTGTTAAGTTACTTGCTAGGCCCTGCTCTGAACTACTAAAGCTGGAGCCTGCAGTGGATGGAGCGTCGGCCTGCAGACTGAGGGGTCCCGGGTTCGATTCCGGTCAAGGGCATGTGCCTGGGTTGCGGGCGCATCCCCGGTGGGGGATGTGCGGGAGGCAGCTGATCGATGTTTCTCTCTCATCGATGTTTCTGGCTTTCTATCTCTCTCCCTTCCTCTCTGTGAAAAATCAATAAAATATATTTTAAAAATAATAATAAAAAAATAAAGCTGGAGCCTGTAAAATACAATAAAACTGCCCAGCTGACTTCCTCAGTGGTTGTGTCAACCTATGAACCGGGAGGTCAGGGCTTGATCCCCAGTGCGGGGGAGGGGTGTGTGTGTGCCAGAGGTAGCCAATTAGTGATATTGTTCTCATCATTGATGTTTCTCTTTTTAATTTATTTAAAAATATGTTTTTATTGATTTCAGAGAGGGAGGGAGAGATAGAAACACCAATGGTGAGACAATCATTGATTGGCTGCCTCCTGAACGCCCCCTCCTGGGGATTGAGCCCACAGCCTGGGCATGTGCCCTTGACTGGGATTGAACCCAGGACCCTTCAGTCTGCAGGCTGACTCTCCACTGAGCCGAACCAGCTGGGGCCATCATTGATGTTTCTATCTCTCTCTCCCTCTCCCTTCCTCGCTGAAATCAAGAAAAAAAAAAAAAAAAACACATTTAAAAAATATATATAATAAGCCGGCGAGGTTCAGTGGGATAATACTGCCCTCTAGCGGACATTCAAGACATTGGGGTGATTTTGGTGACACTGATGCACACCCTCAGCAGGCAGTAGACAGGCCCAGAGATGCTACTCAGCCTACAAACCAAGGGCATCCCACACAAGTCCTGCAAGACTTCTGAACCTCCCACCACCATTTCATGTCAGTGCAAAACCTGTTTGAAATCACCAGAGCCCAGCCCCAGCCGGTTTGGCTCAGTGGATAGAGCATCAGCCTGTGGACTGAAGGGTCTCAGGTTTGAATCCGGCCAAGGGCATATTCCCAGGTTGCAGGCTCTATTCCCAGCAGGGGGCATGCAGGAGGCAGCTGATCAATGACTCTCTCTCATCACTCATGTTTCTATCTCCCTCTCCCTTCCTCTCTGAAATCAATAAAAAATATATATATTTTTAAAAATCATCAGAGCCCAGAACCTAGTGCTGTATTTTTCCCTTAATTTTAAAATACACTGAATTTTTCTAAATCACCGAGTCCGCCAATCTGGTTCAGGCTGCATCCATGGCCACTGCATTAATGAGGTCAAAAGCAACTGCCACCTTCATTATGCTTCCCTGGGACTGTGGCCGAGAATTTAATACTGAAATAAAATGTGCTGACATATGCTCCACTAGTTTCCTTTTATTCTCCTTCTTTCTAATGTTAGGGCATTATGGATTCTGGGCATGGTTATGAGTAGAGGTAAGTAATATTATTAATACATTTCATTGAGTCAGATAGGATTAAAACCATTCTTAACCAGCTTTCTGCATAATGTTAGGAGATTCTGAAGAGATCAGGGTTGGTGTGAGGATTCAGGAAGATCATAGGGCTGAAAGCTGTTCATCTTTGAGATGTCACACAAGATTGTGGGTAAGGCGTGAGGCCTCGGAGTGAGTCTGACCTGGTACCAAACAGGCTCTACCACTGGCCGACTGCACGCTAGACCTCTCTGGCCTTACTGTCCTTACCTGTCAGATGGGTATCATTGAGTACCCGGCACACAGGAGCACTTAGCACACGCCAGTAATTCCTAGAGTAAAA